CAACTCCGACTAATTTAGCATGTATATTAGTCAGGGCGGACTAAATAGTCGGGGTCGGCAACCTTGACTATTTAGTAACGCGATTAAAAAAAAATCGGCCCGCTTTGGAGCCACGATGCTGACGTGGCTCACTTTGACGTGGCTCCAAAATGGGTCGATTCTTGTAAAAAAAGAGGATAAGGTCAAAATTTTTTTAAAAAATTCGGAATGGGCTTAATTCGAAAATTTGTTGGTAAACTCAACTTGAATAAAAGACATATAGAAATTGAAAGATCTCTTCCCATGTGAAGGTAGCTACCCACCTTATATAGTCGCAGTCAACCAAGAATTCAAATAAATGAATCATTTCAAGATGCAGTTTTCACCAAACTAGCTAAAAGATTACTATCATACGTATAGATTTAGGCGAAAAGGGAAAAGCTCTTATTAGTTAGGGAAAAATGTGTCCAGGCCCCAAAAGCAGAAAGTTCATGTGACCTGCCCCCTTGTATTTTGCCCCATGTGATTCAGCCCCAAATACACATTGTATTTGTGTTAAGGCCCCAAAGTACCAGATCCTGAGAAAAACCCAACAAAAGTTACAAATTTACCCTTTGATTTGATTGAGCTTGGTAACTGCGCCCATCCCTTTAACCCCATCCCATCTCTCTCTCTCTCTCTCTCTCTCTCTCTCTCTCCACTCTATCTCTCAGCTTCTCCTTCTCTCTCACTTCCGTCATGGCCGCTGAAAATGATCAGACTGAGGAGGTCATGGAAGGCGAAGGCGAGGACGGTGGTCATGGAGTCGGAGGTCGGGGAGTCATCTTAGAAACAGCTCGTGAACGCGGGTTCAACAACAAACACGGAACATGGTCCGGGGACCCGCGAGCTGACGGAGCCTGGAGCTTTGGTCTGATGCATCGTTGTTCTCCCCTTTCTAGGTTACGGAATATCTTTACCCAAATCAATGTCTTAATCAAGATAGTGCTCTTGTTTTCTTGTAATTTATGAAGGGAATCGATATTGGATTTTTGTAGTTTTTCTCTTTCATTTAATTGAAATGAGATCTCCTTGGATTCTTGAACAGCAGTTTGGGTTTTTCTTTAATGCCTTTTTCTTGTGTGATTTGGTGATTGACAGAGTTTTGTATAAGAGATTAACAGCAGAAATTCAAAAGCTCACATTGAATCTTCAGACATATCGACATTTAGCTAAAAATTGAAGATAATGTGATTAAAAGTCGACTAAAGAATCTAAGAACCTGTGAATTTGAAAGGGGGGGTCAAGGAAAATTAGAACTATAAATGTTAGTTCTAAGGGCTGTTATGTTAGTTCTAAGGGCTGGAATGTTAGTTCTAATGGCTAGAACTAACAAAGAGCCCAATGTTAGTTCTAAGGGCTGTTATGTTAGTTCTAAGGGCTGGAATGTTAGTTCTAATGGCTAGAACTAACAAAGAGCCCAAGAGGGCTGGAATGTTAGTTCTAATGGCTAGAACTAACATTGGGCTAACTAACAAAGAACTCAATGTTAGTTCTAAGGGCTGGAATGTTAGGCCCAAGGCCCAATCAAAGACCTTTAAATATATATTGTAGTTGCATGGGCTTGAACTCCTAACCTCCTCTCCAAATTCCCAAGCTTTACCACTAGACCAAGTAGCCAAAGTGTTAATGTTAGTTCCACGAACTAATACTGTGCAGAATAGAACTAACACTCTACAGATTAGAACTAACACTGTGCAGATTAGAACTAACACTCTACAGAATAGAACTAACACTGTGCAGATTAGAACTAACACTCTACAGAACGGAACTAACACTGTGCAGAATAGAACTAACACTCTACAGATTAGAACTAACACTGTGCAGATTAGAACTAACACTCTACAGAATAGAACTAACACTGTGCAGATTAGAACTAACACTCTACAGAATAGAACTAACACTGTGCAGATTAGAACTAACACTCTACAGAATAGAACTAACACTGTGCAGATTAGAACTAACACTCTACAGAATAGAACTAACACTGTGCAGATTAGAACTAACACTCTACAGAATAGAACTAACACTGTGCAGATTAGAACTAACACTCTACAGAATAGAACTAACACTGTGCAGATTAGAACTAACACTCTACAGAATAGAACTAACACTGTGCAGATTAGAACTAACACTCTACAGAATAGAACTAACACTGTGCAGATTAGAACTAACACTCTACAGAATAGAACTAACACTGTGCAGATTAGAACTAACACTCTACAGAATAGAACTAACACTGTGCAGATTAGAACTAACACTCTACAGAATAGAACTAACACTGTGCAGATTAGAACTAACACTCTACAGAATAGAACTAACACTGTGCAGATTAGAACTAACACTCTACAGAATAGAACTAACACTGTGCAGATTAGAACTAACACTCTACAGAATAGAACTAACACTGTGCAGATTAGAACTAACACGCTACAGAATAGATCTAACATGGTATAGATTAGAACTAACACGCTCCAGAATAGAATTAACATTGTATAATTTAGAGATAGCTTGTTATAAAATAGAACTAACTTGTATAAATTAGAACTAACTTGGCATAAATTAGAACTAACGTGGCATAAAATTAGAACTAACATGGTATAAAATTAGAACTAACTTGTTATAAAATAGAACTAACTTTGTATAAATTAGAACTAATGTGGTTAGTTCTAATTTTTACCAGCTCGTGTTAGTTTTAATTTATTTAATGTGTTAGTTCTAGTGTTAGTTCTAACAGATATCGTGTTAGTTGTAATTTATTTAAGTCATTAGTTCTACGTAATTGTTGGGTCTAAACGCCATGTTAGTTCTATTTAATGATGTGTTAGTTCTAGCTTCTCTAGTGTTAGTTCTAACTGGTATCGTGTTAGTTCTAATTTATTTAAGTCGTTAGTTCCAGCGTAATTGTTAGGTCTAAATGTCATATTACTTCTACTTGATGATGTGTTAGTTCTAGCTTCTCCAGTATCAATTCTAACAGGTATCGTGTCAGTCCTAACAGGAGCTCAACTAGAACTAATATAGCCACTAGAACTAACGCTTATATTAGAACCAACACTAGCTGGAAGTAGAACTAACATTAAATAAGTCAGAACTAAATTAGAACTAACATAGAACAACATAAAATAAGTTAGAACAAACATTAAATAACTTAGAACTAACATTAGAACTAACATGAACATAAAATAAGTTAGAACTAACATAAAATAAGTTAGAACTAACATTAAATAACTTAGAACTAACATTAAATAACTTAGAACTAACATCAGTTATTGCTCATGATAGAGTTCAAAAAAGGGCGGGAAATTTCCCTCTATTTTTTCCATCAGATTGCATTAATGGGCGTGACTTTCCATGTAGTTTGTGGACCAGACGTCTAGGGAAGATAAGTGGAGGGGTAATTTCGGGTTTTTTTTCAAAATACAATCTCTTTTTTTATACTGCTGACGTGGAGGGGCCTTAAAATATTAAATGGTACTTTTTGGGGCTGAATCACATGGGGCAAAATACAAGGGGGCGGGTCACATGAACATTCTGCTTTTGGGGCCTGGACACATTTTTCCCTATTAGTTATTGTGGCATTTTGAAATAGGGTTGTCTAAAATATATTTTCTTCTACAAAATTAAACTATGTTTATTAAGTACTTACAATGATAATAACAAAGATTTATCTCATGAATTTAAAATTCTATAGGCTCAACTTCCAACCAAACAGGTAATAAAATGCAAAATGGACGTTCCACATCAATGTCTAATCAATACTCAAACGCCACAATTTTTTTTTAAAAAGAGTGACTCATACAGATTGGCTTATAAAAATTCCCAATAAAGAGGAAATCTTACCTAGACGAAATTTATGTACACATTATGGCATAAAAAAGTTTATGTTAATGTGAGCACTAAAAATCCTAAAATCATAAACATAATAGGAATTCTAAAACAAAAAACAAAACAGATTAGGAATCTTAATAACCTATTAACAAAACATATTTGGAATCATGTTACCAAAACATATTTGGAATACATATTTGGAATCCAAATAACCTGTTACCAAAACAAATTGGGAAACATATTAGGAACCTGCTATCCAACATGCAGAATAGTTATGTACTTACTCAGTTTGGTGCTATTAAGTGAAGCACTCACGTGCCTCTTCACTTGTCATTAATAAAATAAGAACCTTCCAAAAGAAATTACAATAGAGAAATTATTTTTGGCAATTTTTAAATTGTAATAAAATTTTCTTTTCTATATCCGTCCTAAAGATTCGTGAATGTAATCTTTAGCCAACTGTTCATTCAAATCCAATGAACTCATAACGGATCATACAAAATCCGTTATCTAGAATCCCAACATACGTGTTGAGCGCAGGGTAATCCTCCCTCCTTACGCTAACTTTAGGAGTTGTTTGGTTCATTTCATAAAAACCTAAGTTTGAGAGATTACTTATGAGAAATAAGTTGTGGGACTAATTTACATGTTTGTAAGTCTATTTCATAACTTTTTGGGAGGAAATATGTTTCCTTAAATTTATAACCGATGACACTATTATCTTACTAGTTGGTGAGTCTCACATACACAATATTTTTTTCTCTCTCAATAAATACAATAAAAGAAAATTAAACACCTTCACATGGGTGGCGTATGGGTGTTTTAATTTCCTTTTTTTTTTCTACCAAACAGCTCCGAATCCCAACCGATCCCTATCATGACCCGTCCGTACGCTCCAAGTCTCCAAAACTTAATCTATTTCCAAAAATATTTTGAAATTACATTCACCCTCAGACAAAAATAGCCCTTCCGAATCCCAACCTCCCCCTGCCCCTCTCTCTCCCCATCAAATTCCTCCACGCTCTCATTCATCGCCTCCCGCGCTTTCCCCTTCCTCCCAGAAGAACCGACGTCGAACTAGGGTTAGGGTTTCTAATCCCAATTCCGGCCGTCGACGAT